CAGCAGTAGCTGATATACCATCCTTTGATTTGGGTGTTTTATCCCCAAAATTACCCAAAAAACAAGGCAAATCTCCACATGCAATTACAGAGAGTAGTCATAGTTCCTCTCCCCGACAAATCAGAGCCGAAATGAGAAGCAAAAAAAAAACTTGATGTAGCTGTTGGAGAAACTTCTACACCAGTCAAACAAGTCAAAAGAAAAGGAAAAGAGATTTCTGTAGACGACGACTTTGTAGAAGAGGTCCCTAATCTTCGAACAGGAAAGAAATCAAAGGTGTCTCCTGGTTCGAAAAATCTAAAAATGAAGAAACATTCAAAAAAACACCCTAAAATTGTTCGGAACCAATCATTGGCGAAGGTAAACATTTATTAGTTTCTTTTCTAATTTTTTTGTTTCGTTTAGGATGTTAAAATCTGTGTTATACGTGTTTTAGACAAGTGTAGATTAATTGTCTTAATTTTGAAGATTATTTATAGTTGTGATGTTCTGCCGTTATAATTTTAGATATTTTGTAGTTATACTGTTAGGTAACTACTACTATTTGAAGCAGAATTGTAGTTATCTGGTGTTGCTTCCCTTTTGTAGAAAAGACTTTAAATTATAGATATTATATAATCATTTGTAGTTATATTGTAGACAATATGTAGATGAATTTATCCTTTTTTATGCATAATGTGAATTAATTTATTATTTGTGCAGAATGGACAGTTTTTTGCCCCACATAATGTTGATTATGGGGTGCTTAGATTCCACACTTTGTGTGATCCTAGCATTCCTAGCCAGATTAAAGAGCTTCTATCCTCAAATGGTTTGAATCTTTTCAAAAAGACGTGTTTTGGATACTTGCTGTCTCTTCCCACCATATGCATGCAAAACCAATCCATTCATCTTCTGATGAAGTATGAATTGACCAAATCCAATGAATCCTATTTTTCTGTACAGTTAAAGGGTGAAACATTAAATTTTGGATTGCGTGAGTTTGCATTAATTACTGGTCTAAGATGTGTTACACAGGTTACTGATTTTGGTTATACTCCCACTTATGTTAGCAAAATAATGAGCAGTTATTTTCCTAACAAATTAAGAGTGGAGAAGTCTTATTTGAAACAGATAGTAACCACTAGATCCTGGGTAAACGATGAGGATGCGATGAAGTTGTGCATCCTTTATCTTTTAGAATTTTTCATTTGTCCTTCGGACAAAGATCATGTTTCTTTTGTAGATCACTTTAGGTTCTATTTGGTAGAATTTGGGCAGTATGAGTCATACCCATGGGGTATTAAATCTTTCACCCAGCTGATGGAATCTGTGAGGCACAGACTAAATCAGTATGTACATTCTTATCTCATACAGGGATGCTCACTAGCATTGCAAGTATGACTTTATGAGTGTTGCTCTACTGTCAGCACTGATCTAGCTATGAGGTGTTCTAACTCAATACCTCGCATACTAAGATGGTCAGCTACTAAGGGGCTGATTTGGTTAGCTGCCTTTGAAGAGAAGATGATAAAGCCTGAGTGGATAAAGGTATACTTTATTTTGTTACGATTATGCATTTACCTTCAACATATCTACAAGTATTCTACATTTTCTGCCCTAATCAAACTAATTTATTTTTTCTCATACAGTTTACCAACATAGTTGAATCTGGAAAAGAGATTGGAGTGCTGATTTTGCCCGACAAAATTGAGTACAAAGTTCAAGAAGGTGAACAAACATCTGAGGTTCCCAATGCCGATCCTCCTACATTGGAACCCAAACAAATAGATGGAGAAGAGGACGAGGAGTCTATTGCTGAGAAGATCAGTAAAGTAGAAAAAGGAATTGAGCAGGTAATACATATAAACTACAATATATTTACATTTCATAAACTGTCTACCAAACATCTACAAAATTGTAAATTCTGATATATATCTTTACATAATAGCATATGTTTTTGCATTGTATGTTAGGACATATTATGAAGTTAACAACTTACTATATTGTAACTTGTAGGTTGATAGAAAGCTTGAAGATTTCAGGAAAGCTGTCTTTATAGAACTCGATAGCCTTCGAGTGTTTATAGACTGTCCAGACTGTTTTGCAAATGATAAACAGTAGAAATGTGCAAGATGATGCAAAAGTAAGATCTGACTTTTATTTTTATAGAAAAACAATTTAGACATACGAAAAAATATATACAAACTAATATAGAATATTTAATTTTGCTGGCAGTTCAACAAAAAATAATGACCAACAAAAAGACTTCAACAATGAGCATTTTCAGTTCAATATTGGGGAACAAGTGCAAGCCAGCACCACTAAAATAGGTATCTACAAATTATCTACAATTTGTGTCAGTGATTTTACAACATATCTACACTTATCCACAAATTATCTACAATTTTAATAGTTTATATGCTACAACTTTCAATCCACCATTATCCAGTATTATTTACCATTTTCAACTATAAAACAGAACATGTTGAAGGTGCAGTTGATCAAGAAAATCTTCCATCACATGGTGATTTACATACACATTTTCAAGTTGCAGCTGATGAAGACAAAGCAGGTATCGCACAGTCATTCTGAGATATTTTCTTGTTGTTTATAAATTTCACCATTCTTGTTAAGTAAGATACGAATTGTGTTACAGTGATGGAAGATATCAATGCACAGTCCCCAATTCACGGAGTGAGAGTAGCAGCTTAGACCGAGCATGTCATCGAGGAAGATGACAATGAAGGTGCAGATGCAGAGTATGTTGATCTAGGTGATTCAGAAGGATCAGGAGTTCAGAAGAATGATGTCACACTAGATGATTTTGAGTTGCATGACAACTTATCCCAGTTAGTTATGTTTGGCGAGCCCATACCAGAAGATGCAATACCTATTCATCCGGGGAGAACAAGGCATCCAGGAAAGCATGCCCGATCACCGTTTATCCCTCTATACAGTTCTGGGAGCAGCAGCTCGGTTGGACCTAAATTTTTCTAAGTATAGCACCATTTTACTACTGTTATTGGTAAAAATGTAGATCCGGATGTTTTATAGAACTTCAGCAAGTGGTTATACCACTCTATTGACAACGGTTCAAAGATGTATGAATGCATAATTTGACAATTGCTTTTCAGCATTTATCTTTTACATATCTAGTTCAATCTACTTTTTTTTTTGTCATTTATTTGTTGTCACAGGAGGAAGGCTCCATTTTCCATAAAGGATAACCAAATTAAGCCTTGGTTAGACCTTGGAGTGGAAAAGGTTGATAAGAATGAATGGTTCTATTCCCTGGCTCACCCCGGTCAAGTCCTCAATGACTCGGTAAGTATCAAGGAGTCTATTTCCAATACATGATTTGTAGATATCTTGTCTTCTAGTATAAATTGTAGATATGATGTAGACATAATTCTAAATGTTGTTTTGTAGTTTAAATTGTAGAACTGTTCTTAGACATCATTTTATATTTTTTGGTTCTGTTTTGTAGTTAATTGTAGTTATAATGTAGTTATATGTAGTTTATTTGAAGTTGACTTGCTGTTGATATGCCAATTATTTTTGGTTGCAGCACATTAATATTTTAATGTATTACTTGAGGAAAAAAGGCAAGTATGGCCCCCATAACAGTATCAGGTTTACCACAACGGATTGTGTGTTCAAGACTAGGATAGAACAAATTTATGAAAAGTTCATAAATTCACCTCCAGAAAAGAGGTATTCTGTTGTTAAACGCCAAGATGTTGTTGCAGAATATATTTTGGGGTATAGACTACTTGCCAATATTGCATGGGATGAAGTTGACTATGTGATCATGCCCGTCAATATTGTAGAAAAATTCCATTGGGTGTTGGTTGTTTTCGACATTGCAGACAGGCAACTTTATGCGTATGATTCCATGGTCTCTTCACACAACCATCAAGTTGTTGAATCCTGTGTCGATAAGTTTTCTGTTATTATCCCCTTGTATTTGTCATGCACTGGTTTCTATGGGAAGTGTAAAGACATTAACTTCAAGACAACAAACGCATACATCGAAAAATCAGTTACCGACCCTCTTAACATTCAGTGGCTCGTTGGAGAGATTCCACAGCAAAAAGAAGGATCACTGTAAAAAATCTATTCTCTCTTTCTATGCATTTAATTCTTTTTTTATTTCTAATCATTTGGTAAATATTGTTTAAATTTTGTATTCTATTTATTGCTGCCTTTGCGGAGTATGTTAGTCTTGGAGATTTGTCGATTCCCGCAGAAGACCTTTCTGATATTGACCAACATCGTAGACGCTATGGAGCGCTCCTATGGGATTATGCTACAAAAAAGCAGGAAGATGGGTCAATCAGTGAAAGTGAGGTTACAGGCAGACTAGCAAGGAGGAAGGGTGCACCTGCATTGAATGAGAAAACAAGAGTGCAGAGAAAGAAGAAGTAGTGTCATGTATATGTAATTTAGTCGATGCTAGTTTGTAGGATAAGTATAGTACTCAACTTTCTGAACAATTCCTTTGTGTTTTTATTGTAGCAGACTTTTTGTTTAGTGGATAGATTAATTTCTATCCATTTTAGTAGTTCACTTGAAAATAACTTGGTGGTTTTATCTCCAGTTGTTTAATATTTACTGCACTTGTTCTTTCATTATCTTAAATGTAGTTATTTTGTTGTCAGAATACAAATTATCTACAAAGAAACTTCAATTTATCTACAATCTGGAAACATTGAATGTTGAGATTGTATATAATTTTATAGTTGAATATGTATATAATTTGTAGGGATTTACCTCTAGTTGTATTTAATTTCTATATATAACTGCCACTTCAAGTTAAATTAATTTTTTAAAACTTGTAGTTATATTGTAGATAATAAATATTAACTGTTATGTACAGAATGTAAAAAATGGAGGTAGATGCTTGCCACAATACAGAAAAACATGTTAACAAACACAGAAACAAATTGAAGTTAACTACATTTTTAATCTTTAAAATCTCAAACAATTACACACAAAATTTTGTTAACTTGAACACACTAACAATTATTTTGTAATACTATCCTAACTACATGATATTTTTTTTTGGGTGCATTCTTGCAAGATCTTTTGTTATGCCCTTCACCTCCACAGTTTCCACATGACACCTTGTACTTCTTTGACTTTAGTTCATCATATGTTTTGTATCTTTCCTTTTGAGGTCTTCCTGGCTGCTTTTTCTCTCCCGTAGGTGGATTTACTACTTCATCAGATATATGTTGTGGCACATTCCATTTGCTTTCATCAGGAAGGGGATTTACTGGTATTTCATATGTACGGATTAGGCTCTCCCTTGTGTAATACGGAGAGCAATAGTTTTCATATCCTTCATTCCTGTCCCTTAAAGCTGCCAAAGCATGCGCACATGGAAGTTCATCAAGTTGGAACTGGCCACAAGTACATTTCTTGCTTTCAAGACAGACAACGTACCGTTTCACACCATCTATCACAGTATGGATATGATTTGTTGAAGCCCTCACCTACAATTACATAACAAACAGAAAGAAAAATATTTACAATCATAAATTAACTACAGCTTGTCTACAGTTTATCTACAATTTATCTACAAATGATCTACCATCTACAAATTAACTACAGCTTGTCTACAATTTATCTACAATCTGGAAATACTGTATATTAAAATATTATTTTTCTGCACAAAATAAACAGATCTTACCCTAAGTTTCTGAGATAATGTACTGTTTTTCTCCAATTCTTTGTTGAATTTGTACCCAAGGTATGTGAAAGTACCCTTTGACTTCAACAACTTCTCTTTCGTCCAACGTTCAAGAAGTGTCCTCATATACTCTAATAGGTCAAATATTGGCAGCTCTCTTGCATATTTTGTTACAGCATTCAACGACTCTGCAATGTTTGATGTCACAGTCCAAGTTCTATTCACCGTTGCATGTACTCTTTGTTTAACCAAAAAATAGGTTTTTAGTCAAAGCTAGAAATTAGAAGAATCGGGTTACTGATAATCGAAAAAGTAAATAAAGAAAGAAATTTTAGAATAACCAAGTATGAAAGCTGGTAAATCAAAGTATATTCCAATAGTCACCTCCCCCTACAATTGTTTGTTTCTTCCCTTTTTATAGCTCTTTTAGGATACGAGCCTTACCTTTGTCATAATAATGCTATTATGGGCAATTAATGACTTTAAATGTTACGTTATGCAATCATATATATTAAATACATATTCTCTAACGTTTCCAATAATTAATACTCATTAAATGCTGTATCTAGGCTCCTTTTTGTTGTCAGATTCATTCCTTTGATTCTTCACTATCTTTGAGTTTTAAATGTATTGAATAGGTACGGGCGTTGAATTACTTGTATGACTACTCGCACCCCCTCCATTTAGTTTACTTGTATCTGTTGTTGCTCGTATCTGTTGTTGCTCGTATCTGTTAACCAACCTTATTTCTTTGACTGTTTTTTTATATGTCATGACACGTCACCATATACATAAATATAATTTTTCCCAATACAGATAGTCCCCCCGCTTTCCATTTATTCATCAGTTTGAATATTTGGGAAGTGGAATTCATTAAGGGAGAATTTTTGTCACCATTAATTCTCTGACAGAGTTTGACGCTTCACTTATTACTTTCATTTAATGCACTGGACACGTGTCATCCTCTTATTGGTCATACAATTGTGCAGCACTTTCTTAGGCTTTCTTTTCGGCTTCCCTGTCCACGAAGTGTCAGTTATCATTATTATGGACTTCCCATCACTATACTCTTTCCTTCTGACGGTCATTCACTAGTATAAATATAACTTCCATCTTTGTCTTCTACCATTTAAAGCGTATTGAACACTTTAATTTTTCAAAACTTTTATTCACTTCTTCTTCATTTCAATCTTCTTTGTCATGGCTTCTCCGAACCCTAACCCTAGAAAAACTCCTATTTTAGACAGTTTTTCCAATGCTCCCGTTAGGCACAGAAGAGGTGGTGGTGGTAGACTCCGTAGTTTAGGATCTGTTCGTGGTGGTAGTTCACTCACACCTTCTTCTAGTTCTGGCCCTTCTTCTAGAACTGGAGGTTCCCATTCTCAAAGGTTTTCTTCCAGAAACAAAGAATCCTCTGAACCCTTACGCGAACCTTTAGTGCAAGAAATAGTTCCAACGGACTTATCTTTTTACCATGACAGGGAATCTCTCAGAACTCAAGTCGCCTCTTTAAATCGAGTTGATACTTATCCTTCTCAAATTACTGACCCTTTAATCCCCATAGTTCGTAGAGATTGTCATTGGAGTGATGATTTCCCTATCATCATTCCTAATCCAAATCAGAGAATCACCTCCTACATTACTGGATTTTCTTTGTTTATACGTATCCCTTTACTTGGGGTTTAAACCAACCATTGATCCANGGTATGTGAAAGTACTCTTTGCCTTCAACAACTTCTCTTTCGTCCAACGTTCAAGAAGTGTCCTCATATACTCTAATAGGTCAAATATTGACAGCTCTCTTGCATATTTTGTTACAGCATTCAACGACTCTGCAATGTTTGATGTCATAGTCCAAGTTCTATTCACCGTTGCATGTACTCTTGACCATCTATGATAGACAATATCATAGAGGTATGATTTAACACGAGGGTCTATCTCTTCAATCTTCGACATCCTTTCATTAAATTCATCCATAGTGTATGACCCTGCTGTAGCAAAGTACAATTCATTTAATTGTAGATGACCCTTCTTGAACTTTGCCCTTATATTTGTCCAAATATGCCACACGCAAGAGTAGTGTGGCATGCCCGGATAGACAATTGATATTGCCTTCAGGATACTCTCATTCCTATCTGAAACAACACACATTGAAGTTCTTTCACCATATGCTTGCTTGAATTGCTCAAAAAACCACTTCCACGATGCGTCGTTTTCCGAATCAACCACAGCATATGCTAAGGCAATATTGTACCTACATTATTAGTAAAAAAATAATTAACTGGCAGCTTTGAAAATGCATATAAAAACACAAATACATATAAACTACAATATATCTACAAAGACTCTACAATGCATCTACAATTTATAAACTGCCTACAAAATAACCACAAAATAACTACAATTTTACCTGCTCCATCCATTGTGCTTGCTGTCAGCATAATTCCCCTGTAAGCTATCTTTAAGAATGTCCCATTAACCACTACTACTGGTCTACAATATTCCCAACCACTTATTGATGTACAAAGAGCAACAAATGCATATAAGAAGCATTCATATGTTGTCTTCTTCAATTTAACAACTGAACCAGGATACGTCTTCTCAAGAATATAAAAATATTTTGGTAATTTGTTGTAGGAGTCAGCCGGATGACCTCTCAATAACTGTAAAGCCTTTTCCTTTGCCCTCCAAGCTTGCATGTAGCTTAGGTTCACTCCGTGTTGGGATAACATGTCAGTTTGTATGTCCTTCGGTGTGTAAACTGTCTTAGGATCACAATACTTTGGCATGACCATGCTACCAACTACAACTGCAGTACGTTTGTGCTGTATGAATGTATCGTCCATTAAGGTGCATGTGTGTTGTTGGTTGAAACTCCTGATCTTGAACATTGCAGAATCATTAATTGATGTTGCCTTGAAGTGCCAATTACAGTTTTCTGCAACGCATATAAGCCAGTAGCTACAAAAAAATACATTTATAATACAGGTTGTCAATGTAGATGTAACAAAAGCACTATTTTAACATAAAGTAACACACTATACAATAGAACTACTTTTCATCTACATATCACAAGGAAAAAACTGTTTATAATGATCTTTTCACCATTAATATCTTCATACCTTCTGTGGCTAGATCTTTTAACCCTAAGTTGGAACTTGTGCATGACAGAATAGTGCCTCATTGCATTTGCAATTGTTTGCTTGTCTTGATACACTTGTCCTTCTTCGATAACACTTTGTGTACCTTCAGTAATTATTTTACTTTGATATTCCTCTATAACGGGAGAGGCTGGCATATCAAGTAACTGTATTATCCCGGACGAACCTGCATGAAAATAAAGATTAACAGTGTCATTACAATATTGTAGAATCTTTGTAGATAAATTGTAGATGAATAGAAAATTTTGTAGTCAATTTTTTTTCCAAAATGGATTGTAACTTAATTGTAGTCTAAATGTAGTAATGGTATTGATAATCATGAAAACAATATTGCTTTATACCCCCTAAAATTGATTTGTAGTTTATTTGTAGATAAATGTAGGAATTTTGTAGGCATTATCGTAAAATCAGACTTCCGTAGAATTTGAAACATAACAAACCTGCACTTGTGTTCTCATTTGTAATAGCCAATTCCATATTGAAATCTCGTACACTTATGAGTAACGGATACGATCCTAAGTTTTTATTCTCCTTTTTTGTCTCCATATACACACTAACCCCCATATTGTTCCTAATCTCCATTGGAGGACAATTCTCATTCACAATGTATTTGATTTCTACAATTTTTTCCGAAGTATCAATCATTAATTGCTCTGCAATTGTAGAAATCAACATACTGTAACTTGCATCCTCATCGAGCACAATGCCATCAACTTGAAAATCTCTAAATCTGCCATAGCTATCCCAATTGCCATTAAAATGTAGCATTATTGGGATTTTGGACATGATTGCGTGACGTTGCTGGGGTATTCTTTAATATTTTGTCGCTTTTTTATTTTTTTTGGATTGACAGAAAAAGACGAAGAACAGAAACAAAAAAAGACGAAGAACAGAGCTTTTGAGATTTGTAGAACGGATTTCTACAATTTGAAATTTAGCTTCTGATTTCGACGAACTAACAATATGAGTTTCTGATTTCTGATTTCGACGAACTGAGAATTTGAGTTTCTGATTTCTGATTTCGACGCACTGAGAATGTGAGAATATCGAAGAACAGAATTTGATTATAAGTTGAAGATAAAGGATTTCCGTTATATGATTTGATCTGATTTACGCCCAATATTTTAAAAGGCGGGGGCGTGAGGCGAGGCGTTTTACCTCTGACGAGGCGAGGCGTAAGCCCTGAGACATGGGGGCGTAAGTCCAACGGATCTTTCAATTTTACTAATTTCAAGAATTTTAAGATATTATAAAATAAAAAAATAATTATAAAAATTACATTAAAATTATAAAATTATAACAAATAATCTACTTAAAATATTTATAAATTATAATTCAACTATGAATAATATGAAACATATGACATATATCATAATATGCAAATTAGCTCCAACGTCGTTACAACTCAAATATCAAAAATAATATGTATTCGATAGGAAATCTTATATGTATCTCTTAAGGAGTCATGAATCTTTAAAGAATTTGGATATTATAATCTGATATTTTTCTTAAAATACTCCTTTTATTTAAGATGCTTTCTACTTGAAAGAGAATTTATATAAAAACATAATTCACAATTTAAATATGATTCTCTAGCATCATTTATTTTTAAGTTTCAACAAGTTAATAAAGTGACACATAATTCACCATACAATACCATGATAACTAATTATTTATAAATAGTTACTAGCTAATACTGAGCTATTAAATTAATAGGTATTGTATCTCGTAAATGTGAAAAAAAATAACATTTAGAAACATAGTTGTAAAAAAAGTATGGACTATTATATAGCAAAGACATAACAAAAGTTAATAAATAAATACTTTTTAAATGAAATATTTATTTAAAATTAACTATCATAGCAGTCTTAATGGATAACGTACAATAATTTTTATTTTAATTATGACATAAAACACTCTCAACTTAATGATTTATGATTAAGGAAAAAGTAATTTTAAATAGTCAACGGTTTATTAAGAAAATTTGAGGATTTACAAGGTTAGTTGCATATAATAGCATAAAGTTCTATTAGGCGAGCCGAGTACGCTGGGCGTTGGGCATGTCTGAGGTGTAAGCCTCGATGGCCGAGGCGTAAGTCTCATGGAACTAAGCCTCACACATAAGCCCAGGGGCGTTTTACGAGTGCTCCGCTCCGGGACGAGCCCCGAGCGAGTCCCAATTCTGCCTTTTAAAATAGAGTTTACGCCAAATCTTTTTAGAATATTCTTTTCCTGAATTTTAGCTCCACAAATTAGGAAGATTCAACTCCTATTAATTAGTATTTAATGATTGGTATAATAACTGTAGGAAAAATGTGGACAGGGAGGGTAAATTAGAAACTGTGCGCATTTTTAGTAATAAAGTTTCATATATGGTATAGGAAGGAAAAAATCTCATAATGAAAAGCAATGTATATCCAAAACCGATAAACCGCACCAACTCGATAATCCAAGTCAAACCGAGAAAAAAAAACCCGACTATGGTTTGGTTTGATTTGGTTTGGTGTTGGAAAAAAAACCCAACCATAATTGGTTTGGTTTGTTTTTAACTAAAGAAAGTCAAACCGAAACCAAACCAACCCGACATTTAATAAATAGAAATTTAGATATATTTAATATATAAATATACTTATTGTGATGTAATTTATAATTATTTCTTAAAAATTTTCATAATTTTATCTTTTAAGGTATTATTTCAAGGTTGGACTTAGAACTTTTGAATGTTCCAATAAGTTCTATAGCCATTAATATTAGTAAATTAAATAATGCTAACAAAAGCCCAAACCAAAATGAAATCAATACTAATGCTAACAAAAGACATTCAATTCAATACTACGAACGGAAATTTATTGAATATCTATTTTTTTATTTTGGCAATAATTTAGATAAAAATGCATAGCCTATTTTTATTTTTTCTTTAGCGTTTAGTCATGTAATTAATACTCCCTTATTAGTCTACTTATTTTAGCATGACTTAGTACTTTTAGATTATGTTTATTTTTATTATGACTTTTTAATTAGCAATATTTATATTACATAATTTTATTGTCTTTATTGTTGAATATTTTAGGATAATGCCATGACACATCTCATATTTTGTATTATTTTCTTGGAAAATACTTTATATAGTTGTATCTTACTAGGATTAAAGAAATATTTTGAGCACAAGTTATATGTTTTGTTCTACGAAGATTTTACCAGGAAAAAACCCGAATAACCCGAAAATTCGAGAAAAATCGAGATTGAAAAACCCGAGTTTTATTGGTTTGGTTTGGTCTTTAGATTTAATAACCCGACATAATTGGTTTGGTTTGGCAATTGTAAAATCCGAACCAACCTAACCTATGTACACTCCAACTCCTAAGCAACATATATCATGTGTTAGTTCATTTTGAACATGACAAAATTACAAGAACCACTCATGATTGTGGTTTAATGGTCACTAAAATGGGTTTATTACATTAATTATGAAGTTTAAAGTTCAAATTTCAACAGAAGAAAAAATACTAGGTGATTTCTTCTCATTTGTCTAAACCCTTAATGAACAGAATTATCTGATACCTATGCTGGTAGAAGGTAGCATGTATCCCTTGGAATTTGCCTATACACACACAATTGCAAGGAATGGCCTCAATAGCTTTGAATTCAAATTTATCTATTTCCCAAAATATGATTTTGCATTCAATTCCACACTCCAAACTTTGAATTCCATGGTCACAACAATTGAAGTTATTATAGCAAGGCCAAACTTACCAATAGCTACTAGTAGATGATAAAATCAATGGGCTACATCATTAGCCGCATAATTTGACAACTTCGCAGCTTTATTCGCAACCTTTAAATTTCTCTTAAAACTTAAGATTTAGGATTAATTAGTTCACGCTATTACACACAATTGGAGTATTCATGAGATTAAAAAGTTTTATAATCTAGTTGAAGTTGCAAATTGTACTTTTGCATGATGCATTTCGTTGTACAGCAATAAAACTAAAATAAAAAATTGTTCAGTTTTCATGTAGGAGTTGAGAAACTAACAAATAGAGGCTTGTCTAATTGATGTTCAATAGTGCAATTTATGTATATTGTTTCTTGTAGCATGAAATAGTTAAATGCTGTCCTAAAACTTTGTTAATCTGTTTACATAATTAACAATATAGAGGAATTTTAATTCAAAAAAATATTAATCTTCTAGTTCGTAAGTTCATTAGCCAATTGTATAAGACATACCCTATCCTCATAATACATGGTCAACCTTTTTTTTTCGGCCTGTACTTTCTCCCTGTTGTCTTGTACCTACTTTGGAGCTTGATAAATTTGGATCTTGTTTTGAGGTTAACATGCTTTCTATCAAAGATGATTTTATTATTAAGGTTAAATTCGATACATTGAATAAAAAGAAATACTTATTATTCATCACTAACTTTTGGTCAAAAATTTGTCCAAGAAAGAAGTTAAAAGAGTTGTGTGGGTGTTTATATGTTGTGTCTGAGTTTGTGCTTTTGTGTGAGGTCAAAAAAAGTGTGCTTGAAATCTTCACATATAATGATATAACAATAACATCATCTGTGGGCTGAAAATAAAAGAAAAAGTAAAATTAAGAAAACAGCATCAGTGGGACCCATCCTCTCCTGACCCCACCCGAAGGAAACGCCTTTTTCTAAACCAAACAAAATACACGCTCACGTAGTCTTCCCGAGCACTGAATGGCGAGCATGTCCTTTGAATTCCTTAAAATACCCCCTACTATTCACCTATAATTTCCAAATTACCCTTCAAAAGCCCCTATATATACCCCGACATCGCCCCTTCATACTATTCCTTATACCTTCTCCCCTCCAATACAGGCAATCTTTCTTGATTATATTTCTCTGTTATAGTATTCCTTATTTTTACTGAACTGGCTAACACTCAGGAAACTCTGGAGGAAACTCAAAACAAAAGGGTGGTAATAGCCCTATATGAAGCCTTGAGCTCACACGACGTCGTTCAGGTCCAGATCCTACTGGCCGCCGACCTCGAGTGGTGGTTCCATGGTCCACCTTCTTACCAGTTCTTGATGCAAACCCTCACCGGCACTGCCAAGGACGCTTTCCACTTCATCCCTAAGAGCATTGACGCCTTTGGGTCCATTGTACTCGTCGAAGGCTGCGACCCGACCCGCTCCATTACTTGGGTTCACGCCTGGACTGTAGCCGATGGGGTAATTACCCAGGTTCGGGAGTACTTCAACACCTCGCTTATTGTGACCCGTTTTGGGAAGAAAACCCGATCGGATTTTGAGTCTATAACGCCCCTGCATTGCCCCTCTGTTTGGGAGAGTAGCCTCGCTAATCGGGTCGGGAAATCCGTTCCGGGTCTGGTCCTGGCTCTCTAGCTAAAAGTGTAGTTTGTGGTTGGTTCTAGTATGGGCTGAAGTTCTTTTACTGTTTGGTTTGGTTTTAATTTTGTTTAAGTTTATTTGTTGTTGTGGTCGAGTTAACCAATGATGATTGGGAGACCCTTCTTCTTGGTGTGTTTGGTTTGCAATAAAAGTGATTTTCTTTGGTTGGTTAGAAAGTGTTTCAATGTCACCTTTTATTTTTTTTTTTATTTTTTTTTTTCAGTTTGGCATTGCTTATAATTTTCAACAAATACATACCGGTGCTTTAAAAAGCGTAGGCGTAAGGCGATGCGATTTACATGGCGTAAGCCCCATCAATATTTAACTTTTAATATTTTATAAAATAATATAATTACAGTAAATATTTATAAATAGGTAAAATTGCATAAAAATTGAAATAAACTATAAATATGTGAAAAATATTATGTAGATGTGCTCTATCCCCATAAAAAATTAGTCAAAACAACTAACTTGAGTAGAAAAGAATAAAGCTTTCTACGTTGAGGAACAAAAAAGATGACTAACCTGCAATTTGGAGCTTGAACTTGCTACTATGAAGGAGAATGAAGTTCTCTTTGTATTTGTAAAAAAAAAATAAAAAAAAAATTAAATATTCGTTACTTTTGGGAGATATTAGCAGATTACACAAGATAAATAATTGGGAAAGACCATAAATTAGGGTTTCAATCAATAAAAAAGGTCTTGACTTTTAAATTTAATACATTTCAGTTACTTTTTAAAACTTTTGAGTAATTACAAGCTGATTTTTGAGAATTTGGTTATTATATGAAGGACATATTCAATAAATTTTGTTTTAATTTGAAAAAGTCTCTCGGGCTTACGCCTCATTACAAAAACACGAGTCAAACGCCCGGGCGTACGTCCAGAATGTCCGGGCATACGCCCCAAACGTCCGGGCGTACGCCCCGAGTTACTGGGTGTACGCCTATTGAGACTTTCGCCCCACACCATCGTCTCGAGACATTTTTGGTACGCCTCGCCCCAGGGCTCGCCCCGAGAATGCCTTTTAAAACACTGATACATATTGTAGTATAAATTTTATCGAAAAGCAAATTTCAAAGTACAAATTTGACCGAGGAATAGTAAGTTTAAGAAAATATTAAGTTTAATAAAATATGCTGACAAACTTTCTTATTTTCTGCTTAGGTTAACTTCATGGCACGCATTTCCCACCTTATACGGCTATACTCCATTTGGAAAAGAGCCACAAATTTGACTTGCTCATCTCTAATGTTATCTTAGAACTTTGAACTGATTATTATTCCTTATCCTTTTGGGGACATATTCAACACTATTTCCCAAAAAACAAAAAATAAAGAGGAGTTGCGCTCAGCGTTAATAGTGTTCTAATCAAATTTGCTGATAGTATTTCTTGTCGCATCTAACCAAAATTGGATATTACAAACAATGCTAAGGTACAGCATAAGAAGCCCCCTTTTTGTTTTAATTTTATTTCTCGATTGGGTACTGGGTACTAAGTATTAACCCCGTTGGTTATCTTCACTAGCCGTAGTTGAGCCGGGTTTATATATATATATATATATATATATATATAGGATTTAAAAAAATATTATAGTATCATGTTTGAAGGGGAACCTTAATGTAACTGGTAAAGTTATTGCTATGTGATCAGGAGGTCACGGGTGCTGCCCATGTGTCCTACTTAAACAGTATAAATTTTTGACGAAAATGATTAAATTGAAGGGAGAAGGGTCAGAAATGTCCCTCTACTTTCAAATATTGTCTACATTTAACCTCCGTTATACTTTCGGCACATAAGTATCCCTACCGTTAGCAAAGTATTCAAATCTACCCCTAATTTAAACGGTGCTCCTATGTGGCAGCGGACACAGCTATTAAAATGCCACAGTTGAAATTATGTGTATCTTTTTTTACTGTGTCCCCCCTCCCCACCCCACCCCCAACCCCAAAACAAGAAAACCATTAGTCAGTTTTTAGAAAAAACATTTTTTCCCCTATTGATCAGTGATTAACCCTTGCATTTGAAATAAATTTGGCTTGGAAAAGTGGTCGCCTGAGTTTCTGATGGAGGAATTGAACTCCCAAAGTAAAACTATGTCAAGGTGTATTTTAAAGCCTAACTCAAAGGATATTTGATCACGCCCAACTATGCCTTATAAAAAGGACTAAGCGGTCGCTGCAAATATAATCCGGTTTACAAGTCCGGAGTCGAATCCCACAGAGAACTAAGGTTTAGCTACAGCTGTTCACTATCACCAAGAAGACAAGCTTGAACAATTCCTAACCTATAGATATTAAGATTCTTGTGTTTAACTACTTAACTAACAAATTAAAATAGTAAATTAACAACTAACGATACTGAGGGTTAGAGAAAAGATTAAGGAGGTCTAGAGTTATGATTTCCCTTATTGTCGGAATCCTTCCCGCTATATCTTCTATAATTTCGCCTAAGTATTCTCTACCCATCATGAGCACTCTTATTACCGTAAATCTCTCCCGAGTAATTACGACAATTTACTAGACGCGCTCTCCCGAGCTACACTAGCTGGCTTTTAATACAACTCACTTCAGATTGCACCCAAGGCTTCGTTATCCCTAATCCCACCTTTAAACCCTCGGTTATTGATCCCTCATATACTCTGGGAGTGGTGTTGTTCAACAATTACCTAAATATGCACTCTCTCCCGAGTTATGCATACTAAATAGGCACAGCTAATTGAGAGCTCTTCAACCAACCACAATATAAACGTAGTTGAACAAATAGAGAAAAGCTATGGCTCAATTATATAAAAACATAACAAGAATTTATCCTACAAAAGGTTCTATCAAAACTCTAGATAACAAATTAGCTATTCATAATAGCATGTAAAACTACAATACTAAAAGTCATAACCAACAATGAAAAATAGGAAGAGGAAGGAAAAACTCGTAGAAGAATTCTTCGCCTTGCTCCCAATGTGTTCTTGCCTCCAAGGGTGTTGTCTAACCCTAAAGTAGTGTCTCTCCGCCTCCTTAGGTCTAATTTGTGTCCAAAATATGTCCCCTTCTTGTTCTTGGCCGGCCTCCTTTGTTTTATATAGGGTTTAGGACTTAAAATCCCATGTTTTACACTTTAGCCCCTGAAATTTACGCTTCCCACCGCGGTTTCACCGCGATCGCGGTGGAACCGCGGCCAAACGCCCTCGCGGATTCTTCATTCTTCAGAAACTGCCTTCCACCGCGGTTCTGCCGCGGTCGCGGCAAAACCGCGGTTTTTCACCCTGTTCCGTTTGGAATTTGGAAAAACGTAAAACATGAAAGTTGTATCCCTTTGAGTTAGCTTTCCAACCATATATTGTGGAGCCCAAATGGAGTTCAGAGCAAAAAGTTATATCTATTTTACTAGACAGTGGGCAATATGCCTCCTCAAGTCTTCGTTCGTACTTAATTATCAAATTTGACCCCCGAACACGATCCCGGCTTAATTCCTTGAGCTTTTACTCAGACTTCAAAGCTTCAAATCACTTAAATTCATTCCATAACATCTATATAGCTCGGAATCACACCTACAAGGCATAGAACACACAATTAGTGCAAAACACTAGCGATTAAAGCGCAAACTCAATTAAAGTGCAGTAAATTCGAGTGTAATAAGCGACTAAAATATGCAATTATAGCCTATCATCAATATTCGATCTTAAAATGGGTTTCTGCGATTTGATTATTAGTTAATGCAATTTCTCTCATTTTGGGTAATTATAAGCTATAAGCATTTATTTGCTCTATTTTTCCCTTCCACTTCCAAAAGATTGAACCTTTCAAGTTGCTTTCTTTTATATAGTTTGAATAGTCTGCCTCAAAGAATTTGAGTTTCTCTACCCTTGGTTTTTTTTTTGTGCAACATATGAAAGTGGGAAAATGCTCTAAGTTAACGGGAAATTATAGTTATGCTAAAAGTTAGTGCATTTTTCGTCAAGATTTCTAGTTCCCTTCTTTGGGAACTTCTGGAATAGCCTTCTTCGACTTTCATATGAAATTTCGATGCTGTACAATGAACATGTATGCAGTTCACTAGAGAAAGTTAACGGAACATGTTCTCATAATTCCTTCGTTTGAATTAAGATGAAAAATGGGAGGAGCAAAAAAATTTCTTACTTTCAAAATTACACTGTAATGGAGGATGGGGACAAAGGAGAAAGACTTTTTAAAAGGGAGTTTTCTTATTTCTTTGAAGAATTAAAAAAAAGGTAATACACACGTGGTATCCACTATGGCATTTTAATAGCAGGGCCCACTGCCACATAGGAGCACCGTTAAGGTTAGGGGTAGATTTGAATACTTTGCTAACGGTAGGGATACTTATGTCCCAAAAGTATAACGGAGGTTAAATGTAGACAATATTTAAAAGTAGATGGATATTTCTGACCCTTTTCCCTAAATTGAATTCCCTTGCCAATACCTAGCTCCGCCCTAGTCATATCAATTTAGTAGCACTGACTCTTCAAGATGTACCATTTTAGTAACACCTATCATCAAAATAACAGATTCGGAGACTTGTTAGTTAACATACTGAGAAGATTTGCAAGTAGAAGAGAATAAAGCTAATTAAAAAAGAACACAAATAACGTGTCTAAGCTAGTTTATCCCTTTGCAAAATTGTATTGACCAATATGCTCTCTACAGAAAGGGAAAATAGCTAATTTTACCCCTCTACTTTGATATATTATTTATATTTATCCTCATCGTTAGCAAAGTTTTCAAAGTTACCCTCTAACTTAACGGAAAGCCCCAAATCCCTTCTATTTATTGCAATTTTTCCTCACTAATCAGTCATCTCCTTCGTGTGATCCACCAGAGAAGAAAAAAGGTCCATATTAGAAATGAGAGTGTGGAGTTACAACATAATTTCCCCCCTTGTCTTTGGTTTCAAACCATAAATGAAAGGCAGAATTCACAGTTTATGGGTATGTCTCCAATGGAATAAGGATGAGCGAAATATCTTAGATAATTTGGAAGAGATTTATTTGATTCTTCAGGTGGTTGAAATGCATTCGCTTATGAAGTTGTTACTAATATTTACTATTTTATGGATTACAGGCATAACAAGGCCGTAGGTATCCATGTAAATGCATTCCCTTTCTTATTTGGATTTGGCACGTCATGTGATGCAAATTTTGCTGGCACAAGCACTTCT